TGCAAACTGAAAAAAGATTGGTACTAATGGCAAACACATTAAGTAAGTTGGTTTGCTGGGGGAGCAGAGACAGGGAGCACAGGTTCCCTGGGGAGCCCACTTAAGAAAGAAAAGGACTATTAGACAAAGGCCAGGTAAAGTGAAGCAACACATATCCTCAAATTTGAAACCAATAGAAGACTAAAAAAGTTTCTAGTAAACCAGCAGAGTATAAGAAAAATGTTCTGTATTTCTATTTTTTTTAAATATTTTTCTTGATTTTTTTAGAGAGGAAGGGAGAGAGAGATAGAAACATTGATGTGAGAGCAAAACATCCATTTGCTGCCTCCTGCACGCCCCCTACTGGGGATGGAGCCTGCAACACAGGCATGTGCCCTGACCTGGAATCAAACAGGGACCTCTCAGTCCATGGGGTGATGCTCAATGAACAGAGCCACACCAGCAGGGCAGAAAATGTTCTAAATTTTAAATTTTAGACTTTGAGATAGGTTTTTAGATATTTTTGAAATAAACTGCTAACAAAGAAATGAGAAAAAAATGTAATACTTTCTTTTAATTGAAAAAAAAATTTTTCAATGACAGCCTACATTCAATATTGTTTTGTTTTAGTTTCAGGTGTACAGCATAGTGGTTAGACAATCGTATGCTTTACAAAGTGTTCTCCCCAATATCTCCAATACCCCTGGCATCATACATACTTATTACAATATTATTGACTATATTCCCTATGTTGTACTTTATATCCCATGACTATTTTGTAACTATCAATCTGTACTTCTCAATCTCATCACCTTTTGAACCCAGTTCCCCCCCACCTCCACCCCCACCCCCAGCAACCACCAATCTGTTCTCGGTATCTGAGTCTGATTCTGTTTAATACTTTAATACCCAGCTATAGCCCAACTCTCAAAATACCTGACACAGAAAAAGGGGCAAAGTGAATACTAAGAGCTAATACTGAGCTAGTTTTATATATATATATATATATATATATATATATATATATATATATATATAATATATTCCCCCTAATCTGTGGAGAGAAACTTTCCTCCTCCCTCTACCCGAATGAAAACATCCTATAGTAAGCTTTGTTGGACCAACCCAATATTCCAGTAGGCCTGATATATTGAAAAAAGCAACATGAGTTCTTCAGTTTCTACCTTTTATATAACCACATCTGTACAACTAAAATGACAGGGAAAATGCATACACACAGGGACACTTTAGTGGTGGCAGTATGGCCAATTCCTGAGAATATAAAATCCAAAGTCAATGTGATTTCGAAAAAGTGTAGATTTTACAACTAAAAGGAAAATATTCAGCATGAGGGAATAAATATGGTGATTGTTAATACCAAGCTATATATAATATTAGATGAGGATAAAACTGATTTTACAATGCATTCATTCAGCAAACACAGAATGGCAGTGGCCATCGTTAAGTCTATGGAATTGAGTGCCTGGATTTGAACTGTATTCTCCTCACTTTCTCATGCAGTTGTCCTTGGGCAAGTTAATTATTTAAGTCTCTCTGTTGCTCAGTCTTTTCACCCAGAGAAATGGAGTCAATGGTAGAACCTAAAGTTATTAGAAGGAGTTAATAAGGCAGTCTTTAATGCTTTAAAAGTAATGTTCTCAATTAGGTGCTGGGTACGTAGTAACTTCTATATAAGAGATTGTTAAATAAAGTTACATTTGATAATTAATGAAAAAAGTGAGCATGTAGGCCAGTATGCCACCATTATTCAGCTACAAAGTATTATAATAAATGACTCTAAGAATGCTCAAAGCATAAAGTAGTTGCACAGTGAGCCTCAAACAACATTTCCTGAATTGCCCAGACTTTTAAGCAGATGCTCTTTTCAGCTGTGGTGTTCCTTTAGAAGTTCAGAGCCATCAAGATGAGTCAGGTTGGAAAATGAGATAATATTACTGATGCTCAAAGAAAGACTCGGATGTTTCACACTGACCTTTCATCAGAATAGCAGTCCCCACAAAGAACTTGATGATCTACTGCTCAATATCTTCCCAGAAGATTGAACAAGAGAAAATAAGAAAGCACACTGTGAAGGCTTTTGGCTAGATATCTGGAAAGATTTTGATACCACAAGAATTACTAAGTATTAGAATGGATTGCTGAGAGGGGCTCAAGAGTCTACCTCTTTGGAGGTCTTTCAAACAAGGACAGATAGTCTATCTGATCTGCCTGGGATGCTTTAAAATCAAAGCTGAGTGAAGATTAATGGAACAGACTGCCCCTTGACAGCCTCCGCCCTCACAAGCGCTCTCTTGGAGTGTAACTTTATATATTACCCATCACACTCCCTCATCTGTTGAATCTGAAGAACTCCCTTTTATCCTACAATAGAAAAGGGCAACACTATTTCACAACTGTGAGTTCTGAGTAAAACTTTAATAATGTTGTGATGAAACATCATGTCCCTATTACTTTTCAGTTATTTTACCAGGCAAGCTACCTGCACATAGCTTTCAATTAGAAACAGATCTCGTGAATCTAAATTCTGAACAACGGTTCCTTTAAATTCATGTTCCCTGGCAAACAAATGGCATATGCCATTTCTCAAGCAAATCATTAAAAGTCCAAACATGACACAGGATGAAAAGGAGTTCGAAAGGAGTTTGAAGAAAGGATAATCACCATGCACTAGATAATTAAATGTAAATTGTATCAGGACAGGAACTAGGGAGGAGTAAAAGAGTGTGTTCATTTAATAAAGGGACATATTTCCTAAGTGATGAACTCAATAGCACTAGGTAGCACTGAGTAAAGTTTATTTTGGAGGGAAAAAAATGTATATCCTTAGTATACAATTATTTTACAATTCACTTATTCCATCGTGAGCTGTACCTTGATCATTTCAAGTCAATGGTACCCTTAGTCCTAGAATGTGAGTTTAACAAAAGTGCACTCATATTAGAAATTCAGAGCTTTAGAAAGCACTGTAATTGTCAAGGGATGGAGGGGAAAAAAAACACCTGTAGTTAAAAATATACTGAAGGATTTATTTAACCTCTACAAATGTTCTCAGGAAGGTAAATGATGACTGCAGAAAGAAATCATTTACACTGAAAACCTTCACCTTGATGTTAAGGAGATTTGCATCACACTAAGCATGAACTATAGTCTCCAGAAAGCCCCATTATCCACTAAAAAATACTGAAGCAATATAAAAATACTTCACAGTTTTCCTCTTTGAGATATCTTATCTGAAATCGTGTTGGAGAAGTATGTGTTTAAAAGATACCGTTTGAAAAAACCCAGATTAGAGGAGAAAAAGTTCCTAAAAGAAGTCATCCGTACGTACTACAAACCTTTTAAAAGTTGAATTCCCTGAGATTTGGGGAGGGGAGAAAAAAAAAGCAAAGTTGATCCTTATCAATTAATTAAAAAGAATGAAATAACAGTAGACAAAAGGGAAAGGAGAGTTGAGAAACTTAAGGAGCTAGAAGGGCAGCCGGTCTCTATTCACTGATTAACAAATTAGGGAGTTCTGGAAAAGGGAGAAGTAAGTGACGGATAGAAAAGTAGTCTTATAATTCACCACGGGTTCCGCCTTCGGCTCACCAGAAGCTGGCTCTGTCTGGCTCAGAACTGGAAGGGGCTCTCTGTATGTAACACTGTTAGCGTGATGCATGAGCTATTTTTTAATGCCTAAATTCATATAAATGTGTTATTGCAGCGTAAGTAAAAACTCTCACTTGTAGAGCTTGAAGAGCAACCATAACAAAATAGCAAACCCACTATGTATCGAAACTGTTATGTTTTCAGATATCTGCAAAAGGCTTTTCATCCACCGACCAGTTCTCTGCAAAACGCGGAGAGGCTGGTGGAAATTCGGCGTTTTGACTTGACCATCCGAGGTCACTGAGGGCTTGGGCTGCCAGTTTGAGAAGCCCGCGCCCTCGCAGCATCTCCCGGCCTCTCCGTTCGGTTCTCTCGCAGCCACAGGATTCTCTCTCCTCGACACGTTTCATTCACAGAGCCCCAGAGAAGCTCAGCTCCGGTTGGAGGTAAGAGCCGGAAAACACGCACCCAGGCTGCTGCGCAAGTTCTCGCAGACCAAGTGCCCACACACTGGCGCCGAGAGAGCGGGTGGGGGCTCTCGGGTTCTCGAGCACTGCGAGTGGCTGGGCACGCAGGAGACACTGAGTCCGGGGACCCCGGAGACGAATCCACTCCCGAGCCTCCCGCTTAAGTTGACTCAGCTTCCGAGAGCCGGCGTAAGAGGCCGCGCTCAGGACCCAGCGCTGCGCCGGGTGACTGGGGTTCACCCCAGCCGCAAGTGACCAACAGCAGCCGGGGAAGCACACCCCAAATCAGAAACAGGCAGCCCGAGAACCCCCCCCCAATCAGCCAGGAACTGCGGAAGTCGCGAGGCCGAGTTCCCTGGTGGGGGTCCCCCTAGCCTCGCCCGCCCCCAGCCAGAGCACCCCGGGCTGTCTACCGAACCGCAGAGTGTGGAGCGAGGGGCGAGGGGAGCCCTCCGCGTCTCTCCACCGCCCCCGCCGGCGCGAGGGCGGGAGTGGAGAAGGCGCCACTCAGACTGTGGCGCTGGGCAAACTGCGGCCGCAGTTTTTACAAGTTTGCCCGAGCGAGAGGCGTGGGGTGGGCACCCCGCTCGGCGATCTGCCCTCGCGCCGCGGCCATCCCCGAGTGTCCCGGGCTCCCTGGCCCACCCGGCGGGAGCCGACAAGCAAGGGGGCGCAAGGGCGCGAGAGCGGAGGGAGGGAGGGCGGAGGGAAGGAGGGCGCTCCCGCGTGTGCACACAATGAGGCAGCTGAGACGCACACCTAACCCCGCGGGAGCTGCCGGGAGAGCATCCGCCGCCCGGCGCAGAGGCGCGGCGCCCGTGGAGCCCAGACGTAAAGTGAACACTAACAACTCAGCAACAGGGGGAAGGAGGAGGGCACCGGGCGGCCCGGGAATGTGTGGCCGCCGAGGGCTGCAGCCCGCTTGGGCCGCGCGCCCGCGCTTACCTGCGATCTCTTGGTAGGGGATGTCCGCCAGGCTGAATCCCTTGGCACCGTACGCCTGGCGGACCTCGCTGCAGCTCCGAGCCTTCACATCCGCCCCGGCCGGGAGGGACAGCAGCAGCCCAGAGAGAGGAAGAATCACAGCCCCGATCCAAGAAGGCATGGTGCAACATGCAAATCCAGCTCGGTAAACCCCACGGCCCGTGCGCTCTTCACCTTGCCCCTCAAGCCGAAAGCCCGCCAGAGCCAGCGGCGCGCTCCTCGCCGCTGCCCAGCGTCACCCCCTTCCGCCAGCCGAGGGGACGAGCAGCGCAGCCCTCTGGACTGCGCTCAGCAAACTTTTATAAGCCAGATGGAGGATGGCAAGCCAACCAGGGCTGGCTGGGAAAGCAGCCGCCTTGCTCCTCTAGCCCCCCAGATCGAAAACGTTGCAATAAAAACGAGAGAGAGAAGGAAATGTTTCAGAAACCACCATGAGGGTTCAGAGCTGCGATCCGAGTTCCGAGCCGCAGAATCCCAGAGCGCTGCGAGCTCGGCTCGCCGAAGTGTGCAGAGAAGGTGGGAACGCGCGCCGGCTCTCCCGGGAGGGAGGTGGACAGGCGAGCGCGAGTGTGTGCGCGCGTGTGTGTCGGTGCGAGCGCGGGATTGTTGGGGATGTGTCTGCGTGGAGGTATGTGTTGGGGATATACGGGTTCCACAGGAAACCTCAGCTTCACACGGGCTGAGGGAGCCTGTGAGAGTCCTCCAGAAATAGGAAGAGAGAAATCCTGGAGGCGAGAGGGAAGGAGAAAGGAGGGGAGAGACAGAAACGTGCTACTTAGTGCACAGCCGAAATTCAGAGACAGAGTCAAAGGGAAAACCTGGACTGGATCTGTTTCTACTTGGTAGCAGTAAAAAAAAAAGGGGGGGGTGGTAAGGAGGACGTTTCTATTTTCTCATTCCCATCACATTCTTCATCTTCATACTGATCCGAAATGCTACCTTTAATAACATAAGTAATCAATTTAGAAAAACAGTATTTTAAGTCATTAACTCAGGTTATTAAACTATATTTTTGTGAATGTGAAGAACAGTTTCAATTGTTGCTCTTAATATGTTCATGACCTACTGAAACATAAAACCAGAGTATAGATAAGAATATAGGGGAGCCCCTCAGTAGCAGAGCACAATCACCACTCTATTTAATTGTCTCATTTTTGTTTGTCTTTGTTCGTTTTTATTTTCTAAGGATAGACTATTTGTGCTCATGTTAGACCAGTAGTTTTTAGTTTTTTAAATTTTTTTTTCTGGACTCAAAATTTTCCCGCATTTTAATTTCAAATATTTCATAATCTTGGATCAGAAATCATTATGCTTAGGTTTCTAGTGCGTGGAGGAGCTGGAAGATCAGAACACAGAAGCAATGGGAAAATGAGAGAGTAGAGGTCAGTGGGTTGCATGTAGAAAGATAGTGGGAAAAGGAGTGATATCTCTCTTCTGGCTCCTCAAATGATCTCACCTACTAGACTTAACATTTTCTTGCTGATTAACAGAATTCTCAAATGGAAAATCAATTCACTTTCTTCTTCCTTTCTTACATTCAAGTTCTGTGAAATGGGATAATAGTAAAGCTCAGGGTTGACTAATTTCCACCGACTTTCTGTTAATGAACACTGAATTCTGCTATGCAGAAGTCTGTTAAAACCCAAAGTTCCTGCAACTACTAAGATAGTTAAATCCACAACCAAAAAAAAAAGATAATGGTTACTCATTTGTGTGGCCATATGCATATTAGACGAGCATACTATGCAGAAATAATTATAAGGTAATGTCCAGTTTTCTGGAACTTATCTGTAAAGTGACACATGAAGATGTTTTTCTGATGATGGCTATTGATGACCAGAATGACTCATGAAATTTAAGTCATTCTATTTTTTTCACTATCACAGTCATAATTATCTTCATCATTTTCATCACATATTAGGTACTTCCCTTTCTCTCTTGAATAAATCTCTCCTCTCTTAATCTACCAAAAAGACTCTCAAGTTTAAGATGCAACCTAATTTATGTTATTATGAAAATGCTTTAAAATTCTCGTTTTCCTGTTTACGGAGGACTGTTTCTTCTTCACAAGTCCATAGTTAAACATGTCTTTCAGAAAACAACAGTCACATTACATATTTCTTTTTCTTAAAATTTTAGTAGAACTTCTGCTTTCGTTATAATTGTGTTACATGGCAGACCTTAAGTTTCTGAATTTATTTTTTTCAAAGTCTGAAATCAAAATAACAAAATATACTCTAATGCCTTTATGGACAAAGGATAAGATTAGTAGGATTAGGGATTGCTGTAGCCAAATAATTCTTTTTATAATATTTGACGTGACCTCCATCAAACTTCAGTTTCTATCACAGCCAGGTGATCAGCATTATGCAACCCAGAGGAAGGAGGTAAATACACACCTAACTTAACCTATCCTTTCACACTGGGACTTATAATTTACCCTGTCCCTAGCCATACATAGCAGATAATGCAATAAAAAGGACATTTGAGGTGAAAGAAGACAGGGTAAAAACATAGTGTATGTGGTTTAAATTATTTAAAAATCAATCAATATGTATTTAATGAACGTTTATTGCAAATATACAGGACTAGGTTATTGCACATAGTTTCTACACTTATAAAATGACCTTAGCATTTGTGGCAAGACTAGTATATGGAAAAAAAATGATAACTTAATAAAGCATAAATGGATTAGTTTCGTCCCATCAGGAGTGGGGAACAGTTTCAGGTAGGATTGTGAACTTGAAATAACTTGCTTTACTGGTGCTCTCAACCCCTTCTTAGTCCACTTGTTGGCTAATGTAGCACTGTTTGAAAAGTTATAAAGACACATTCCAGCTAAGGGCCGCTGCAGAGCCTAACTAAGGTATTGGAATGAGCGTTGACTGTCATGGAAGTTCATAGAAGAGGTCTGGCTAGAAAGAAGAGAGCTTAGATTAAGGAGAAGTTGGCATTTGGTTTAGATAGAAAGAAAGGTTATAAAGGACTTGAACCTCAGGAGTAATGATTATATTGTATGTAATAGGAAAAAGTTAGGACATGGAAGAACATCAAACCAGAGGAGACAAACAAATAGAAGCAAGGGAGAGGTAAATAGGGAAACACATAGAACTTTGCCACAATGGTAAAGGTTTCAGGTAATTGAGACCAGAATAGGAGGATAGTGAATGGAAAGAAGGTGAAGACAAATTTTGCAGAAAGGATTAGCATGATTTGGTCCGTGGTTCAATACACACACATACATCCCCAAAATTATATATATAAAAAAAAAAAACATTTTAAAATTGCAAGTCTCATTGGGAAAGTATGTTATATTTACTGGGACAATAAAGACTCTTGTTTATAGAGAACTTTCACAACAACCTCTTCTGGGCATAAGATGAATGGAACCTCAGAAACTTTGAGTCAGAGAGAGTAAAAGACTGTCTTAAGGAGCAGCCAGAGGTGATAGGTAAGCAGAGCTGTTCCAGTCAGTTACCTAATCCATGACTATCAGCTCTTCTTCCTGGCTACCCTTAAGACTGATGATGTTTGAGGGCATTGGGCCAACACCAGAGAATGAATCACAGTTGGTCTAGGTGAGTCATAGCAGTCCTTTTTTTTCCCTTTAAATAGTGTATGGGTAGGCATAAGGCCCAGTTCTGGCCAATAAGATGTAAAAAGATTTCTGAGAAATATATTTTTCTTTATTAAAGGTGACAACTCAAGGAGCAGAAAGGTCTTCGTGCCTCAGTCTCCTGCCTTCTTAATAGCTATTTGGTCATCCTGTGACTAGCAGACAAGAGATTGCTAACAAAGAATGACGGAAAATATGGGGGAACATAAGAACATAGATTTCTTATTTGAGTTACCAAACTAGCCCTGGGACCTCCAACCCCTGGACCTCTTGTTAAATGATCCATAAATAATCCTTGTAATTTACACCACTTGACATCAGTTGGTTATTCTGCTGTTTACCAATGAAAGCAGGACAAAGGTATCATAGCAAACCAAACAAAGAACAAGTGAAAGTGAAGGCAATAGACAAGGATTCATTGCAAATGTAAGAGCACAAAAATTAGGGTACATCATAGAACCCACATTAAGAGATTTTCAAACACAAATCCCAAGGACAAGAAAGATGGAGAAAATATTTGCATGATGATAAAGAGGCTCACTAGAAATTTCCAGAGATAGATCTCAGTAAAGTAATGGAGTGGATGCCAGACCACATGGAACTAGATGCAGAGGGTGGAAAGAATATGGAAACATCAGGTATAACTGATTCAAAAGTGGAACCTCTTTGTGGAAGGGCGAAGTAGTCACCAGGGAATACTTTCCAGAAGCTTCTAAAACTGAAAGGAAAAATGAGAGACTACACATAGAAAGAGGCTGCAATTCAATATGATCTTATCTGGTAGGTTGATTTTAAATATTTCTCTTATCTGCATCTTGTAAGTTTCCTATAGTAAATGTGAGTTCTTTTTTTATAACGAGAAAGTTATTTTATAAAGAGTCTTACCATTTTCTCATATATGTAAAACAAATGGGTGTTAATACTTTTCTCCATAAGATAAATTGTTATATAATATTTTGGGTGGTTTTTTTAAAACCTTGAATTAAAAGAAGAAGAAGAAACTATAGAATTTACTATTCTTTTGCTCAGACCAATTCATGAATGAGAAACTGGATGAATTTCAGGTTTTTTGTTTTTTTTTTCCTTTCTGTGTTTAGATCAAGAATGACAAATAAGTTCAAATGAAATCTTATGAAAACAAGAGAATGGACTTCAAGTGTCTGTTCCACATCTCAGCTTGGCACAAATCAAAATCGCTTAGTTAACCTGCCTCTTGAAAAACAGGACCTGCAATGAAAAAGCTGTCAAAAATTTAACAACAGTAGCTCTGCCAGGTGCCTGGATAATGGGAGGGTTGCTTAGTTGCAGAGAAAGAAACGGTAGACTTAAATGAATAATGGCCCGAAATGGTGAAAATAATGTTTTATTTTTCTTATCAAGGTTTATATTCAACTAAATCCTAATAGTCCATTTAACATTTATTGAGCAGTAAGAATATACCTAGTACTAATGTAAACCAATTGGAATGATATCTTTAGGGCAATTGAGAACCAGCCGAGTTACTTGTGATCTCTTGGGGAAAGCCAAACATCAAGGGACATATTCTCGTCTTGCCATATTCTTCTAAAACTCTGAAGCCAGGGGGATCATGTGATCAGCTTAATCAGATTTTTGTCTAATAATTATGTCAGGATTTAGCAGAGAGAATTAAAAGAACTCTTAATTGTTTAATTATATTCAGTTCTCATATATGCCTGGAACTTAGACAATGAAAATATTTCATATACTATTAAGCACTATTCATATTTATTTTAACTATTACTAATAATCATCAAGAAAGTATAGATAAAAAATATGTTACGGTATTTAAAAATGATTTAAAACGCTATCTTAAGTTTTAATATTTATTAATGAGCCAGAAATCTACTTTCCATTGATTCTGAGTTTCATGCCTAGAAATACATTTTAGACTATTAAGTATATTTAAATATCAAGTAACAAAGTATGTACATACTCTCAAAAGTGGTGTTACAAACTCTCTTCTGAGGGGATAAATGGTGATGGAAATAATAAAATAAAAACTTATCTGCCTTTGAACAATCTTGGAAAATGGAATACTATGGGCTACACATCATTTTAGACCATCATTAGAAAAGGTTATTATAAATAAGGAAGGGAGTTTCATTTTGACTTTA